CCCTGCTGTTTTATGCATGCAGCACCAGTCCATCATGGGTTTTCTCCTCAATTTTGGGTTCCTTTCCTTGCATTTAAACTAGTTTGAGATTGTAATGCACTTCAAATTTATATGACCCTCAATGTTATCTACGGTCCATTTTTGTTTCTTGGAGGTTTAATTATAATTATATTATCTCGACTGGATATTCAGGATTAGTTTATTTTGAGTTGCCAAGATACTGGATTCCTTTGCTCATGTGGTAAATTTTGTGGGAGGTTGTACCCAAGCCCTGGATTGAGTTTCATCAATGCTCATAAGCATGTAGCAATTTCATCAATTACCCAAGCTGACTACAGTTGTAATCTTACAGATGTGTGGAACATGGGCATGTAGTGAGATAATTGTCCTTGCGATTCTAAGCCTTGTAAAGAACTATAATTTCCTGTGGGGGATCAGAGGTAATAGGAAAGAAATGTTTGTAATGATGAATAATCACATGAAATTAGGATGTTTTGAAGTGTGCTTAGTTGGGGAAAAAAAAAATTTCCTTTGGGTGTTTAATACAAGTCGAAGTTTAAGTGTATAATTTCAATATGTTTGATGTCTGGCCTCCCAAATTCAAGTTTTTCTTTTTTGAGAGAAAATTCTCTTTATCTCTCTCGTATTTTTTTATTTGATCATACTAAAGCAGTAAAAAGATTCAATGGTTTGGTTTATTGTCACTATCTTATTGAAACTAACAAGTGATTAAAGGGGGGGAAAATGGTAGAATAATTGGTAAATCTTAAAATTGGTAACAATATCTCCGATCTTGACATCTAAACAGGTTTCCTAACTGTAGGAATCTGGTTACTGTTCTCTCATTCAATAACTTCACTTTTTTTTTCAATTCTTGTTGAAATAGTGTATTTTTACGTGCAGATTGGTTGTTATTTTGCAAGAAAAGACATACATATATGACATAAACAGTCTTGATATCTTGGACACAATAGATACAGTGCCAAATTTTAAAGGTGAGGTTGGAATCCCTTGCTCTGCAATTTATGACTGAATTCACAATTTGTGCAATCAACATGTTTATATATATATTGTCAATTTTCTCAAGGGGGCACCAGTGATAGAGTTTTCTTGTTTCCTAAAGCAATAATGTCCATTGTCTAATTACAATAAGCACCTAAGTATTTATGGATACTTTTTAAAAACAACTATATCTATATTGCATCAACATTGGAGAGAATACTTTTGGATATGACTTATATTTTGTAGATGTAGTACTTAATTTAATTAATGACCCATTTGATTGTTTAAAAAATATGAATCATGTAATTTTAGGATTGGCTCATTTGTGAATTTTATAACTAGATGTATTTGGTTGTAAAATAAACTAAATAAATTAACTTTTCTTTAGTGAAAATATGAATTTGGTCATTTCTTTTAAAGAAATTTAAAATTGAGAGATTTAAAATATACTTTGTTTGGTGACTACAAAATATTTGAATTGGCTCATTTGTAAATTGATAGATTTGGACTTACATAATTCAAAATGAAATGATTTTATTCTCCCAACCAAATGAGACCTAAGCAAGCATTTTGCAATTGGCTTTCTTAGCCAAAAAGCCACTAAAAAGGCAAAAAAGTCAAAAAGCCAAGAAGCCAAAGAGTCATACAAAAAAGTCAAAGATTTCTTCTCATTCTCTCTATTTTTGCACGTTTTTCCGTTTAAAGCCAAAAAAAAAAAAAAAAAAATTATTCCCAACACACTTTAGTTTTGTTCACCTCATATTTTAGCCAAAAAGCCACTAAAAATGCCATTTCCCAAACCAACCCTTGGTCTTTTAGTTTTGGACGGACATTTGATACTTCTTCAAGAGAAATGCTAGAGACCCACAATTTAAATCCCACATTTCACCCACTATGACATGGCAATGGTGTTGGGCCTTACATGGTTGAGTTTGTGAGAATTTAAAAGTTGACACATAACTTGTTATGTCGTTGTGGGTAAAATTGTGGGGTCTCAATCGTTTTCCCTTCTTCAATACACTTGGACATGTTTCTGTTGAGCCTTAAACATTGAGATGTGGCATTTGTATCATACAATCAGAGCATGACTCCAAATGAAAAAAAAATTTAAAATTGGTTTTAAATACTGGGACCATTTCTTAAGAGGTGTTGAGATAAATATTGTCAAATTTGTTGTAAACTCCATATCCAAGCAACATAACTCCAATCTAATTATTTGAATTTTAAGATTAATAAGTTAGAAACTTGAAATAGATGATTTATTCATAAGAATATCTGTTTTATGAAAAGGAATATGCTGGAAATTTGTGTTAATGTATATAATAAGATAGTGGCATGCATATAATATGATAGTGGTGTTGGTGGCAGATAGTGGCATGTATAGAATATGATAGTGGTGTTGGTGGCAGATAGTGGCATGTATATAATATGATAGTGGTAGATAGTGGTAATATATAATATGTAAGTGGCATATAATGGGTTATAATGATGTTTGTAATATCTCCTATATAAGGAGTGTCATTTGGTCTTGTAAGACAAGAAGTTTTGAATATAACAGAAATATATTCCTTCTTCCTCATATTTTCGGAGTTCTTCTTCCTCATATTTTCTAAGTGAATATATATATATATATATATTTTGTATAATTTGAATTTTTTTCATTATTTTTTACCATCATGTGGAGCATGCTAGGCTAGGGCATCATGTTTGAACCTTTGGATTAGTCTCGAGTCTTTATATTTATTTCTCTTATAACTTAGTATGCTCTTGTAAACATTTTGTATATATTTTACTAGGCTTTAGTAGGCAAAGATAGTCAGGTAACATTCAATTTTGTTGGCTGTAAGGACCACCCATGGATCTTACTATAAGTAATTTTTTTTAGGTCTCATATATAGTTATTAATACCATTGTTAGGTTTAGAATATTCTGTGGCCAAATTTTCTTTGTTTCTCAAATGAGTCATAGTCCTATTGGAATTAGAGAACTTTAGTATTGTTAATTCTTCTATTTAATAAAGTAAAGCTTTAAAGAATTGTGATTGTCTTTGTGAGGCTTTATTTAGCTATTGCAAGAGTAAGCCTGCCATGCCATGCCCCAGATTCACAAGATCCGAACCCATGAATAAGAAATAGAAGAAACCATGACAATATGTGAAATAAATGGATAATGAAATAAAATAAGGAAATAATCAAGATTAAGGAGTAAATCCAACCATGCACTCTGTTCCCAATGATATACATCTCATGATATACATGTTACAAAAGAGTGTAGCTAACAAATGAAATCAAATGCCCTACGGTCTACAACAATAAATAAGGTCCAACATTTACACAGAAGGTACATGACCAACAAATAAGGCCCTAGGCCAATCAACAATGGAACCAGTGCTCACATCAAAGTTCATCCAAAATACCATTTGCTCCAGTTCACAAAACAACTCCAATTAATTAAAATGAATTCCGAAGTCGTCTATTTTTCAGTGGTCTATCACAAGATCCATCTAATATCCTATTTTACCGGTTGCTAGCCAGAAGGAAATTGGTAGCTACTCTGCTTGAATTTTTGGTCTTTCACCGTGGAGTCTCTTAGCCTAGCTTAACAATCTCATCATCTCTATATACTATCTTGAATTTATTGTTATCTAGAAATCCACTTTCATTCCCAAATCCATTACTGTTTCCAAAATTCTCCATCCATGGTTCTCAAACCAATTCATTTTTGAAACCACAAATTCCATGTTTTCAACATATATTTCCAAACTCGCCAAGTTCAAGATTCTCAAAGTTACGAAACAATTTTCACATTTCCATAGAGATGATACCAATGGAGTGGGTTTTGAAAGCGTGGATGGAATGAATCAAAGACAAGGGAGAGAGATATTATGTATTTATGGCTCAGGAGGCTAAGGTTGACATGGTGAATGGTGTTGAGATTTATTCCATATCCTCCAATGCAAACGGAAGCACACCATGCACGCACCAAAGAGAAAAATAATCACAGAGAGATTTACGTGACTCAAATTGCCTACATTCATGGGAGAGAGTGCTTCCACTATGAATAAAATAGAGAATACATGTAAGATGACCAAAACACTCAAAACCCACACCATTATCCGAACCCCATGCTCGAGGGTAGTTGAGCCCTTGCTCACCAGGTGCCCTCACGGTATTTTTTTCTCTCACCCTTTACATCTCTATTTTTTCCCTCACCTCAATCTCTCAATTTCTCTCAAGAAAACCCTATAGGCCGCATGACTATTTGTAATAGTTTACGCATAAGAATTCTAGTTCTATACAATTAGGTAACTAAGGCCTTGTTTGGCATGATCTAAAAAAGTCAAAAAGCCAAAAAGTCAAAAAGTCACTATCCTTTTTAAGTCATATCACCTCTCTAACACATCACTTCAAACCCAACCCATACCCAACCCATATTTCATTAAAAGTCAAAAAGTGCACTTATTTAGATCATCTCAAACGACCCCTAAATCCTACACATATTAGGTTTTCTAGTAGATTTCGAGCTCTGCTATCTTACACCAAATATATGTATAAACTAACCTACTAATTATATGGGACTCACTTCTATCACATGGGTGGACTAATCCTAACAATCACCCCGTCCACTCATATGGGGTAAATGTTATGTGTATTTGCCAACTTGAATGTCCTAGTTTGTGTGATGCACTCCACCTTCACCTAGAAGTTGTTTCACCCCCTTGAATCAAGTGCCACGTTATTTGCACCTTACACCATAGTGCTTAAACGTGTCCGTCGTGGCTTCCTTTGTCCTCATGCTTAAGCCAACGAGATCTGCCGCACTTCCCTGAGGTGTCTCCATTGTCACAAACCAAAACCTTCATAGAAAAGAGACCCGACTTCCTTTGGTGTACACTTTTTTTGTTGCGAAACCATCTCAAGTTCTATGCCTGAAGCTTTCTTTTTTTGTGAACAATCTGCAATCCGTTGTCTTCCTCTTGGTGGCCATCAAATATCCTTGCAACGGTTGCTCACCACTGTTCACCCATAACTCATACTACTCGTCTGATGCTTGACAATACCTTTCCTTTTATCACAACATACTCCACAAACCTGTACAAGTTGCCAACCAATTGCATTGGTCTTCTACATCATTGATTGATCCAAATTGCTCCTAGATTGCCTAGATCACATGTAATCACCTTTGATCGCCTTTGAATTTGTTCAATCCCTTTAACTGTTTAGAATCTAAAAATTCTGAATGTACTGATCAAACCGCAACCCTTGAAAACCTTGAGATTCACCTTTGTCGTGAATTTTTCTACCGTGCTTCTTCTTGGGGAAGCCTTCACCAAATTTGAATCAATTTTTTTTTTTCTACACCACCGTGATTTCTTTCTCTTCTGTGCGGGTCCTCCGTGTGCAGTAACTACACTCTTTGCCAATTGCCACTTGGATTGGTAACCTTTAGCTTTGATACTACTTGTTGGGATTTGTTCCATATCTCCCAATGAAAATGGAAGCACACCATGCACATACCAAAGAGAAAAATAATCACACGGATTTATGTGGTTTGACACGGAAGAGAGAGCTTCCACTATAAATAAAAATAGAGAATACATATGAGATGGACAAAACACTCAAAACCCACACCACTACCCGAACCCCATGCTCAAGGGTAGTTGAGCCCTTGCTCACCAGTTGCCCTCATGGTATTTTTTCTCTCATCCCTTACATATCTATTTTTTCCCTCACCTCAATCTCTCAATCTCTCTTAAGAAAACCCTATAGTCCACATGATTATTTATAATAGTCTATCCATAAGAATCTCAGTTCTATATTATTAGGTAATCAAATCCTACGCATATTGGATTTCCTAGTAGATTTTGAGCTTTACTATTCCACACCAAATACATGTATAAACCAACCTAATAATTATATGGGACCCGCCTTTATCACATGGGTGGACTAATCCTAACAAATGGTAGGAGATGCTACATGGAGAGGGGCATAGGTGGCAAGATGAATTGAGCCCAGTTGCTCTTGTTTGGAAAGGTCTCAACAAGAGAGGAAGGGACAATACTATGGATCACTTAATGATGCCCAACATAATTTTGAAATACAATTGAATTTTTGACAGTTTTTCTAGATTGAAGGCTAGTGTGTTGTATTTCATATTTTTTTTTTATTTACAATAGTGTTGTGGTTCTTAATCTACATTTTCCTTAAGATCCTCATGTACTGAATAAATTGGATTGTAAAATTGATTTCTGCTGCTGTAACATATTTGGTACTCTCTCAGGACTTTGTGCATTTTCCCCAAGTTTGGATGGGTGCTTTTTGGCTCTTCCAGCGAGTACAACAAAAGGATCTGTATTAGTCTACAATGTCATGGAACGCCATTCTCACTGTGAGGTTATGATACGTTTTCTTATAAGCTTTTTAGTTAAAATGCTTAATGCATGATTTCAAATCTAGATGCCATCCTCTTTTATGTTATTTTTAGTTAAACTGCTTAAACCTTATTTTGAGAAGCTTTTAGTGTATCTTAGCCATAATGTAACTTATGTTGAATTCTAGTGTTTCTGGTTTTTAGAAATAAATATTTTAATTAACAAAAGAGTACATCCAAAACTCGTGATTGTGTTTCCTGGAAACTAGCAGTCTTGTTCTCCTTCCACCTGTTACAACAATTGGCTTAGGCCGAAAGATTTACCTCTCAAGCTCAATATTTCTGTATGCTCCTTAATCAAAATAAATAAATAAATAAATAAAATTGTACTATTGGAAATTTGGGAATCTAAACTTTTTCAATTGAGTTCGGTAATTGATTTATATGTGTAATATGGAGGATGGGGCTCTTCAGTGAGACATAATCAAACCCAAAACAGCTCGAACGACAAGAGTCATGGAATAAATTAAACAACCACGTGCAGATATGGCATAAATAATGTTACAACATCCTATATTAACTCTCCCATGTTACAACATCCTATAGGACAATGTACACATTTTCTATGTTTCATTCTCGTGAAGTCTATAGAAATTGGAGTTGAACATTAATAGAGGACGTGGTATCCTTTTGTTAGAAGATGGCTGGCCTAATGACCCTTTATTCTTTAACACTTTTTTTTTTTTTGGGGTGGTATTTTTACTTGTTAAATAAGTGCTGATAGAATCATAGGAAGTCTGTCCTTTTCCTTTTCTATTCACAAGTTTCTCAACTGCACATTAATGCAGCATGACCAATTCTAAAAATTTACCCCTTCTTTTTCTTTCATTTCTTCTTCTTAAAAAAACAACGCCCAATTAGTACACATTAATGTGTGTTTGGGAGGGAAAAGATTGAGTACACACCTAACCTTTTTGAGCATAATGCACAAAAGTGGTGGCCCCAAGACTTGAAACCATAACCTTAAGGTACTATAAATTCTTAGAGAGCATGTAACATTCTGCTTACAATCCTGTGTTGCTTCTTCAGCTTTCAAATAAAGGCAAGATGCAATGAGATCTTACGATCACAGCAACAGTGTATAAAATGTTTGGGGCTAATAATTTATCTCAATAGTTGCTGCTGCCAGCTGGCAATATGTAAACCTCTTGCATCAGTTTGCAACACATGGCATTAACTAAGTTAGTTGAAATTTCAACTATTTGATCCATTTTAAACATTAAAATCTTATTTTCCTTAAGTTCCGAGGGTTAACAATTTACATACATCAGGAACCAGGATCTATAAAAGGAAAAAATAAAAAGGTTGGGGGTGTGGGGCAGGAGGTGGGTATCATTCACTGAATATAAAGTACATTTTTCTTTCCTTTTCTTATTATGAAATTGGATTGGATATATCTTATGTTACATGGGACTCTTTTATTTCCTTCACAAGATCCATGTCCACTAGATATGATAAGGGTAAGGTGTGATATATGTGTAGGGCACCTGTATCCAATTTAGACATTTGGAACCTCTAATTTCTTACGATGTTTGAAAAAGAAAAAGCTCACATTTTCAAGTAAAGAAACATTTCTAGCCTCTCACAGAATTGAGAGATAAAAATTCCATATTTTCTCTAAATCTTATTTAACTTTTAGTACATTTCTACATAATTTACAATATCTTATCTAAGAATATAATTTAATATGCAATATATACATCATGTTCATGATGCTTCACTGTACCCTTATCTAACTTTTGGATATATATCCCAATATCCTAAGATTAGATTTATGAAAGTAACGCGTGGACTCGCACCGAATACTTATACCCACGTGCATGTAACAGAAATCTTAATTGCCTGATTTTATTTTCTTGTTTGTGGATAGTACTTTGATGCTTCAATGACATTGAAGCTTTTTCTTGAATGTGTATATTTCTCTTTTGATGAGTTAATTTTTAAACTAAATCTAATATATTACAGATAGATGCTCATCGCTCACCGCTGGCTGCGATGGTTCTTTCTTCAAGTGGAATGTACATAGCAACGGCATCTGAACAGGGAACCATAATCAGAGTTCACCTTGTTTCAGATGCGACTAAGGTGAAGTATATCATATGCCTTTGATGGGACTTCCAACATGGGGAGTAACTCTTGTATCTATGAATTGGTGCATTCAGGCTCACATAGTGCCACACCTTGCTGTGGATGAAGGCAGAAGGATAGTGAACTGACTGTTTGATGAGCTGCTCAATTTATAGTTACGAGGATAAAAATTAACCTGGTTTAATTGCATTTAATGATTGATTACATTAGATTTTGTGGAGGCCCATATAAATGGATAGACCACCCTTTTCTGTACTGTCATGCTGTTGCCTAATGTCAATAATGCATGACCATTTTTACCTCGGATTTAATGCAACATATCAGCTTTACTTTGGGTCATATCTGTAATTGATTGCATTATACTTAAGGAACCTAACTATTCTATCTTTAGCAGTCATATAGCTTCCGAAGGGGGACATACCCATCAACTATATTTTCGTTGTCATTTGGGCCATCCATGCAACTTCCAGATATTCTTGTAGCCACAAGTTCTTCAGGTTCTGTTCATGCTTTCCCTCTAGGATTCGCTTTAAATCAAAGGTGAACTGCATTTGAACCTCTTCTCTGTTTGCCACACAAGTTAGTGATCATATTTATATACACTTCATTTGTATACACTTGTATATATTTATTCATTATGACATACTATGTAAGGATCTTATCTATCATAATTTGTCGTAACATGTAATCATAAAATTTCCATTATCATAATTTGTCATATGCATTAATTTGACACTGAAACATCTTTTCATTTTTGGTTTCTGTTATTCCATTGTTCTTAATTCTGTTTTCTTTATGTTCTTCAAGAATTGCATTGGGCACATACTTTTATTTATGTTTAACTTGAAACTGTAGTTCATTTGAAGGATTTGTGAAGTCAACTGATCTGTTTATTTATAAATTTATAGAAGCAGAAGACCAAGTAGTTTTCTCGGGTCTATAATCCCAGAATCTGTTAATGATGCATCAGCTCATCATCATGTACTCCATAATGCTTCTCCAGCACGAGTTAAAAGGTGAAGTTCTTTTTGAATTTTTACCTAAAAGTAACCATTTTAGTGGACCATTAAGATAGTATTAGTTTACCATTGGCATGCTAGGATGGTTGGGGGGAGATATTTTGGACACCTAATCTGTGATGCTACATAATCAACTTATTGTCATGTTGTGTCCCAAGTGTTCCTTTTGATAGCTCAATGGAAATAAAAGTAGTCTTTATTTTTTATTTTTTATTTTTTATAACCGTTCTAGCCCTGCCATAATTTTCTCTCTCTTTAATCTCAACTTTAACCGTAATTATTAATGAAAGAAAAACATGTAACCTAATAAATAGCTGAAAATTAATTATAATATGGATACATAAGTATGCTGATTCTTTTGATCTCAAATCTCAGTATCACTGCAAAAGGGGATGGGCTTTGTATTGGGTTTGTTACTTTCATTTTACTACCTGCTTATGCAGGGAAGGGTAATGGGATGAACAACAATGAATTTGATAAAAAGAGATACTCTCTCTGACAATATTATTAATTCTCCAAAATCAACTGGTTTGCCCTAAGGCGTTCATGTGAATTTATAGTAGAGAAAACCTAAAGCAAAAAGGAAAACCAAATCCTAGGCTAATTACTTGCTAATCAAGCTGAAATAAAATAAAATAAAATAAAATTACCAAAAATGGAAAGATTTTAGTTAGGCTGAAATTCACTATAATGAAAAAGAAATCTATTGGAAAAAACCTAGGCACAATCGGATTCATCTAGACCAAGTTAAAGATGAATCAAATATTTCCAAAAACTGAAAATCCGCGAAATTGAAGACCTAAACGTTGGAATTCGCCCAAAATCCATCGTAGGCCACGGTGAAGTGATGAGTCTTGATCGTTATTCTGAGCATGTGTCGTCTTGCCTCTACTAGTGCCTTTTGCCTTTTTGCATTGCTTGTCCATAAGTTCTAGGAACTCTCTAGCCAAACACTTTGCATCAATTGCCTACCCCTAATCTAGTATGTTGCTATTTGACAGTGAGTGCATGATGACCAATTTTGGCCATATATTAAAAGAATTACTGTATTCACTTTTCATGGGGCAGTTTTGAAACAAGAGAGAGGCACCATTGAAATAATGTGCTGGAAGATACAGTACAATACCTGGATTTTTTGACAGCAAAAAGGAACAGCAATTGATTTGTTAGTTACATTGTCAAGTCAGGTTTCAGTATGGAAATATGGGACCTGCCAGTGATGATGACTCGCAAAATCAAAATCCTAGGCCCTTCAAGGAGTCAATATGCAAAAAAAATTTAGAGTAGATTGTTCTAATGATTTGGGCATTAGTTATCTTATTCACTTTAATGTAAGAAAGCAAACTTGGTTTTTGCTTTTCTTTTGCACAAATTTTTATTAAATCACGTGTCCAGTGCAGTTATGCAGTGATTCGCAAGGTAGATAAAGTTGCAGAATCATCTATGTCTGAATCTGCGGCCTACAGGTAAGCTCACTGATATTGTGCTTACTTCTTGACAATGCTCTTGTTTTCATAGCCTTTTTCTTTCTCTTGCTCCCTCTCTTTGATCCTTTCTTCCATTTAGTTGAGTTTATGGTATGTATTGTTAAATTGTTGACCACCAACTCATCTAAAAGATTAAGCTGTCGGAGAAAGGGTTAACTTTATTATTTATATGGCCGGACTCTTTTTCATAAGCGGGCTAAACATGTGCAAGTATTTTAATTATTGGGTAGGCGGTAAGGTTAAAACCTTAGTAGCAGGAATCGTTTAACTTGCTCACGATTCTTCCTCAAAAGTGCGATTCTGCGCTTCTGACTCAGATTCGCAGAAGAATCGCGAGTTTGATGATAGAGAAACGCGAATCTGATCGCGGATCTGTCTCTCTTCCTCTCGATTGGTCTGTCCCTCCCTCTTCTCTCGATCTCGATCTCGATCTCATGACTCGTCTCCTCTAGATCGATCGATCTCGTCTCCTCTCTCCCTCGATCTCGTCTCGTCTCGTCCTCTTCTCTCTCGATCGATCGATCGCCTCCTCCTCTTCACTCTCTGTCTCGCCTCTGTCTGAGCCTCTCTTCTCTCTTGTTTTTGTTTATTTTATTTTATTTTATATTTTATATTTTATTCAAATATTAAATGTATTTATAATTATTCTAATATATTTTCTATTTATTTATTTTACCTTTATAAATATAAATAAATGTAATGGGTTATATATATATATTAAGTTAATATTAATTTTTATATCCACAAAATAAATAGATTTTAATTCTAAGTAAAAACACAAAATAAAATATAATTTATAACAAGTTATGATAGTTATAATATATTTCAAATATTAATTGGAGAAAAAAAAATTATATCTCACAATATATTTATATATATTATTTAAAATATATACATATTTTTTATATAATATATATAAACGCTCCCAACCTACGACTCTCTTAGGGGTCACGATTCCACGCTCCCGCTCCCGCTTCGTGCAACTAATTGCAAGACAAAATTGCCCGTGAAGGAGAGTATTAGATATCTCGATATACATTGTTGGACTCATTTCCTAAGAGCTTAGGCTTTTAGGAAAATTGGTAACTTAACATTAACGCCCTAACATAAGATTGAGTGCATAAGAACGATTGAGGAAATTTTTGAATCATGTAAAACCAAAATAGATCAAATAAAAGATACAACCTACTCATGGAAAAGATCTAAAATCCAAAAGAAATATTGAAGCTACAAAGAAAACTTTGCCTTGCGGAGATGGCTAGGTCAAACTTGAACACAACCCACTTGCAACTTGCTTGGGATGGTATAGTCGACTCTCAGAGCTGTTTGACCCTATGTGACTTTATTACTAGTTAAATGTAAAGAAGGCAATTGCAATTCGAGTGTATTACAATGGGAAATGCTAACCACCGCCCATTATGTAGTCAATAATGTTGGTATATGAGTAAAAAGTGTATTGAAATATGTGAAAAGTATATAGAGATGTATTGAAAGCATATTGCAACTAGAAGCCGTTGTCTCTCAATATGAGAGATGCATTTATGTGTGTCTCGTGAGCATGCAAATTTAGCTTCATTAAACATCTTTGGTAATATATATATATATATATATGTGTATATATATAAGAAAATAACAATCTTGCTTTTAAAAACTCTTTTGTTCCATGAAATAATGTTTGTAAGGCTTATTTACAGTAACTATGGGTTGAGTTTGAAATTGCTGCAATCTTGCCATAGAACAATTGTTGCAATCCCATCATAGAACAAATTTCTATTGTGGGTTGTTTTCATGATCCATTCGACGTTTGCCTAATGGAATGGAGTTGGCTTTATCGCCTTCATGTGAATTCACTTTGTTACTTTTGTTTTGCTGACATTAATTGAATTATATTTATAGGAATCTAACAATTATAGTAACTCTCTGTATTTGATTTTTTCAGAGCCATTATATCCCTCATCACCTACAGCGGGTACTTTCTGGAGTACAGTTTAAGTATCAACCATCAGAACGAGTCATCATGGATATTGGAGCGTGAATTCAATCTTTTAACTGTGATCTCTGAACGCGTCAACTCATGATCAGATCATTGATTCATTTGTTTTCTCATCAATAGCAGCTTGACCTTTAAGTAAGCAAGCACATCGCCTAGCCCTGCATAGATAGAGGCCCCACTAATATATAGATTAATGTTAGGGTGATTATCTTTGAGTGTTGTACTCAGGTACGAAAATATTTGTAGTTTTCTATTTAAATTCAAAATGTTAATGAAAAAGTAGTCTTAATCTTGAGCAGATTTTAAAACACGATACTTTCTATAATATTGATGGTTTAGGTTTTGTTTCAAAATTAAAGAAACACTCTAATTGATGTATGTAGAAAGGCTAGATTCATTCCCAAATGTTTGTATGCTTATGGAATAATATTATTGGCAACGCCCGTAATAGTAATTTTTTTATAAATAAGAGTTTTTTTCAAAATTAAAATTGATAAAATTATACATAAGATCGACAATATTACAAAACTATTAAGTGGCATTTGCAATGCTGGATCAAAGAAGTCTTTGATGCCATGAACGATGACATGCCTATCTTTAAAAATCTCCCAATCTCTGATCTTGACTTCATTAATGGAAGCGGATTGGCTAATGGGTATTGTTGTGACAACCAGTGGATGGCCTGCGAGGAGTTATTGAGCTTGGACTCGAATGGAAGAGATGATTCAAGAGCCTCCCTATCGACCTTCATGGGAATGATGTGATATTGAAGAAGAGTGAATGGAGGTTGCGAGTACTTGAGAGAGAAGAAAGCATTGTTGGTAGGACAAAATAGGATAATCACCATTTCATTCTTTCTCACCCAAAAAATCAGTCCCCCCAAACCCCATTTCATCCATAACTACCACCACCTCCTATCACATTAACACCCACCATCAACTCACCAAAACCTCCACCATGGATGCTTACCATCATCTCCATTACAACTCTCTTCTTGTTTTAATTCCACCATCCCATGGTTGAACTGTGTAAAATTAACTTCTCAAATCTCAATGGAAACTCCCAAAAATTCCTGGTGCCATAACCACACTTGCATATTCAAGAAATGGGACTGCAAGAAATGGAAAATGATAAGTGGGTCTGTGCCTATGTAGTGGCTTCTACAACATCAACGCCAAATGGTTAGCTTGCAGTTGTGGAATTCGGGATTTATGTATGAAAAATAACAATGGAATTGATTGGGGCAGTTTCTATATTTGATTTTTCTTTAATTAAATTATATAAACAAAAAATTTATACATAATTTTCGTACGTAATGATGTAGCTCATTGTGAACTTTTCATTGCAAAACAAAATACAATTGAAGATGAAACAAAACATGATTAAAAATGAATTTTTTTACAATAGTAGTATTGCTACATCTTTCTTGTCAATTTTTTTTTTTTGGTTTTAATTTTATGTATATTTAAAATTTCGTGTTTTTTTTTTATCAGATTTTGTAATTTGTGATTCGTTTTACCGATGATTGAATGGAAGATTGTTGTAGGTTTTCATTTGAATTACCATGTGTAAAAAGAGAGACAGATTCAAAGAAGAACAAAATAATGGAGAGAGAGGCAGAATGAGAGGAGAAAAAAAAAAGGACAGCAGAATAAGAAAAAAAAAACTATAACAATAACAAGATAACGTGAGTCTTCTCCGTTAGTTGTTTAACTGGCAAATACAACACATGTCAGTCTTCAATTGGACCACATCACTGACAGAAACACTATAAAGGACTGCAGCAAAACCGCGCCCATAGCATACACAGATTCTTAAAAGCATCTCCAATTGTCATTGTCATTTTAGCAATGTCAAAGTTCTAATTTTTTTTTATCATGTTACAATAGCAAAATGTCAAATTATAAAAATCTTATGTCTATCTTGGATTACTTGAAATCACCTTAAGAAGGTTGAAACCCTTGAATCCAATTCTGCTTTTTGAAGAAGATGGAAATGAAGAAGACGAAGCCACAACTTCATGTTGGGAAAATCCATCAACCATCTTGAAATCCAAGTATTTATTGTGCAAATTTCGTTTGAGATTGTTTGAAATTTCTCTATAAATTTGTTTGAGATTGCTTAAAAAAAGTTCGAAACTGCTTGCTTCTTATTTTTGTAGTCTAATTCTGTTTAATTTTTTTTTTTTGATGAAATTTGTTTTAATTTTTTTTTAAAGGTTTGGCTGTTCGGTGAATTCTGTGTTTTTTTTAATAAAAAATTTGGTGAATTTCATTTTTTTTTAAAAATGATCTGTTTGTTTGGGAAGTTTTGGATTGGGTTTGGCAAAGCAGTTGAACTCGTTTATGGATTCAAAATTTAGAAAGTTCCATATTAATGATGAATTGGATTTAAAATGGATTGTTGTAGAGCAAACTAACCTAAAAATTAAGCTAACAAATTAAGACTCTTTTAAAAATCAAGAAACAAAACAAAACAGTGTTTTAATGAGACACAAAGATAGCAAGTTCACATTAATAGAAACATTTCCATTTAAAATTTGTAATTAAAGTTTTTTTTTTTTTTTTAATCTATTAGTAGCTGGTAGGTTTCTAAACGTGTGATTGTTTTTGGAAACCCTGATCTACTTGTCTTTTAATCCTATTTGGACAAGGTTTCAATGTAGTTATATATATAAGTCCTAGTTAGGCTTCTCAATCTATACAAATATTACATTCTACAATACATACATTGCTCTCAGATCTTTTACACTTCTCTCTATTCTTCTTCAACTTCTCCTCTCAATCTACTGTTTTTCCTTCATGGCATCCAAGCTTTCGCTCGCCTTTCTTCTTCTTGTTTTTCTTTCAATCCTTCCACAACCCACTATTTCAACAGCGGCTCAAGAAACAAACCACCATGATCACGGGTTGGATGTTGGGATGATCTCAAGTGTCTTATCCAACAAGGGTTACATAGCCATGTCCTTAATTCTCGAACAAATCCTCCCTACATTGATACCTTTCGAAGTAACCCACAATACCACAATCACCATATTCTGCCCACTTGATAAGGCTTTCTTGTCTTCCAAGTACCCTCAGCCACCATTCACCCTCTTGCAGTACCACGTTGCACCACTAAGGCTTGATAGGGAGGCTCTTCAGTCTTCTCTTCCATACGAATCCAAGGTCGATACTCTCCTTCCCCATCACCCACTTGTGGTTACTACAACACCCCATCATAGTGATCGCGCTTCCATTAATGGAGTCAAGGTTACAGATTGGGATATCTACAACAATGGGCATGTGATTGTTCATGGGGTGGAGGACTTCTTTGATCCTGCGTTTCAGACCCTACTATATCCATGGTACGACGGTAGGGTCACAAAAAATGAAATTGAGAGCAGAACTGGAAAGGATTCAAATACAGAGTTGGGCAGGCTTTCTTGGGTGAAAGAGATAATGATGGAGCAGAAGTTTTTCCTTGTGATGGCGGTTCTTGTCTTCGCTGGATCGTGTATTTCCCTTGCTTGCCTCCGTCGTTGGAATCGTCAATATGGTGGATATGCTCACAGGAAGCCAAATGATGGTATTTTGGTTTGAGGAAAAGAATTGGTATCCCGTGCAACTTCATTGAATTGTAGTCTTGTGTAGTTTTTCGAAATTTGTTGGACTCTTGTTTCATTCACATCCAAAATTGGAAGAGAATACTACTCTGTAATAGAGATTATTACTAGGCTTTCATAAATCATAATTTTTTTTTTATGACAATTCCAATTAAGTGATTAAGAAAAATCTTTGTCTTGATTGATCCAGAATGAATTACACTTTGATTAGACAAAACCCAGAAATTTCTCTGTTTTTCTGCATACTTTTCATATATATATATATATATGTATACACTCTCAATTTGCATATGTATGGAACATTATACAAATACAAAATGAATTTGATTGATTATGGTTTGTTGGGAATTTTTTTATTTTGTCTTTTGATTGTTCGTTGAAGTCTTTTAATTTATTGAGATTGAAGACTTCAGCACCCAAGATTCAAATAATGTATTATGAAAGTTTTATATATAGATTGAATGTGTAATATTTTCTATCATCCACGATTTGTTTGTTCTTGTGGTGAGCCATTGAATGTTATTAGACTTTACCAACAATTATTAGACTTTTTATGATGTTTGTTACTTATCATGATGCTAGTTGTTACCTCAATATAGTGGTTCTTTTGAGTTGTGTTTAATTTGGAAGAATAATATTTGTTATCAATTTTGTCTTTAATTGCTTTGGGATTGAACTTTACTGTCTTTATTCTTGGAGTATTATCAGACAATTAATTTTTTAATTTGCTGGGCCTTTTTTAGATAATCATCACTATTGTTATTATTATTATTATTTTGGAAAATTTACCTATAAATTTCATCTTGAGAAATGATGATCCATTTAGTAATTTTTTTTATAAATAAGAGTTTTTTCAAAATTAAAATTGATAAAATTATACATAAGATCGACTATATTACAAAACTATTTTAGTGGAATCTGCAAGGATGGATCAAAGAAGTCTTTGATGCCATGAACAATGACATGCCCATCGTTGAAAATCTCCCAATCTCTGATCTTGACTTCATTAATGGAAGCGGATTGGCTTTTGGGTATTGTTGTGACAACCAGTGGATGGCCTGTGAGGAGGTATTGAGCTTGGACTCGAATGGAAGAGATGATTCAAGAGCCTCCCTATCGAGCTTCATGGGAATGATGTGATATTGAAGGAGAGTGAATGGAAGTTGTGAGTACTTGAGAGAGAAGAAAGCGTTGTTGGTAGGACAAAATAGGATAATCACCATTTCATTCTTTCTCACCCAAAAAATCAGTCCCCCCAAACCCCATTTCATCCATAACTACCACCACCTGCTATCACATTAACACCCACCATCAACTCACCATCATCTCCATTACACCTCTCCAGTTGTTTTAATTCCACCATCCCATGGTGGAAGCGGATTGGCTTTTGGGTATTGTTGTGACAACCAGTGGATGGCCTGTGAGGAGGTATTGAGCTTGGACTCGAATGGAAGAGATGATTCAAGAGCCTCCCTATCGAGCTTCATGGGAATGATGTGATATTGAAGGAGAGTGAATGGAGGTTGTGAGTACTTGAGAGAGAAGAAAGCGTTGTTGGTAGGACAAAATATGGTGAGAGTTGTTGATAATCATCATTTCATTCTTTCTCACCCAAAAAATCAGTCCCCCCAAACCCATTTCATCCATAACTATCACCACCTCCTATCACATTAACAACCACCATCAACTCACCAAAACCTCCACCA